AGATACAGGATGAAATTGCAAGATGGTAGAAATATCTGCTAATTCTCTCCTCAGCTATCACCACGGCAATGGAGGCAGAAGAGAAGCGAAGCTTATCGCTCAAGCTGAGCTGAAGAGTTTTTACTTTCACACAAAACCTCCCACAACGTCAATATAACTTCTATGAACACTGGATCTAATGAAGTCTGGTTTCCTAAGGACTTCCGTCTCATGGCTGACTGACTTGGGAGTTTAATAAGATCCAAGCACCAAATGAAGCTTTTCCTGTGAATGGCGCATTTATTAGATCCTGAGTGGAATCTCTGGAGTTTAATAAAAGAAAGCTCATGCTACAATATTTCCTTTTGAAAGGGCACTTTAGGTCTCTCTCCTCCAACTGGATTAATATTTTTTATGGAACATGTAGGAATTTAATTGCTGTGAAGAGTAGTGTTCCTCTACAAATTTGTTTGAAATTGGCCCAAGATTTTGATTTACTGCAAGGAAAAGAATACTGACAGACAGACAGACATACCCACACAACGCCCTCTCATTTGCTACCAATAAACCAGGCTAAAACATTTCCGTATACCCTAGGGATGCAGCAAACACTACGAGTGTGTGCACATTTGAGAACAAGAGCAACCGAGAGATGCCTCTGATCTAGACCAGGATCAAGCCCAAATTGATCAGGCAGTGAAACAGAATGATGATCCCCTCTCTTTTCCTTTTTTCATTCTCCATCCCAGTCTCCTCCCTTAGCACTCCCCTTGCGGCTTGTGGCCAGGAAGCCCTGCCCCAGCTCCTGCTGCGGGGTCGTCCCCCCAGCCAGCCCACTGCTGGTGCCAGTTCGGAGAGCAGTCAACAGTGCAGTAATTCGAGAAGTCAGGAGGAGTATTTTAGACCAAAGCTTATGTCCCTCATTTAGAGTACCTACAATAGTCTTCCTTTCCAAAGGGTATGGGGAAGGTAGGAGATGTAGCAGGTAATTCTGTTCTCGTCAGCTGGGCTTCAATTTGACAGGAGATATTCAGTAGACCGTACAGCTGGGAGAGCAGTTAGCTCAATCCATGGGGCCTCCAGCTCAGATGCAAAAGTATAAGGTTCAACATGGGTTTATTATTCATTTAATTAACCTACAACACAACAGCTTCCGAAGAAGAAATGAAGAATGGGAGCCAGACCTAGAAGAAGCCAAGGACCAAGCAGAAGGGGCACTCATCTGAAAAGTCCGGCATTCAGATTCTGGGTTCTGTAGATTAGTGAGGTGAATATTAAAAATCACAGAACAAATGAAGACCAACACCACCTTTTGATATTCTTGAAAAATGTTTTGCCTTTAAAATTTAGCTCTTGTTCATGTTCTAGTATTCAGGGTTTCAGAGGCAGCATATTCAAAAAGTATGACAGCTCTATCAGAATGAAAGATACTGGAATAACTGATTTTAATGTAGGTGTCTGCTAAAATCCTGGCACCAATGGTGAATGTTGAGTATATACACATATATATTCATAGACCTAGCTCTGAAGAACCATTTTCTTTAGATTTGCTCCTTATTAACTAACTGAAGAACATTAAAATCATCTGTGCTGAGAAGAAAAGCCATCCAAGTTTTGTAGATGCTGAAACAGTACTGAGAATGCTGGCATACCATATAAACACCTCAACCGAATGTCCTTTTCCTTCTAAATTCAGATTAACAGTGAAGTATGAGATCGAAGTAATTAGTCAGAGCTTGGTGGTTTATTTGCCACAACATACAATCTTTTCAACCCCAGCTGTTCTTCCCTCCCCCTGTTATGAATGCAGAATACGATGCTTAAGAATGAGAAGGTGGTGAGTAACACAGAATGATTAATAAGAAGTGTTTCCATCAAAACTGGTATTGGAATAAATGATTAAACCCTTTCATAATCAACTCATTTATTAAAGTGAATGCCTTAAAGTGAAAGCTTGTCATTTATGGTAGTTTTTGCAATGGGCAGTTATTCTACGTGTTTACTTCAAGAATACATTTTTGTACTTTGGTAAATCAAGAAATATTGATTTTGAGCAAGTCGTTGATTTTATTGTCAGAACAAATTTAGCTTTGAGAATTGATTTTATTAACCTATTTCATAAGTCCCTCTAAACACACAATTTGTGAGCAACCCACATTCTCTTGATGTAAATGCCATTTGTAATTTAGCCAAAAAACAATTTAAGTGGAGATGGGCCAAATTCATTTTTCATTTATGTTTATGCCATTCTGGAATAAACTCAGCAGTCTTGCAAGAATATACAATTGTTTCTGACTAATTGAAAATATCATTCCCTTATTTTCATTGATATAATTTCAGATTAACATGCTTGACTTCAAGGGGATGTGATTATTTCATAGAGTTTTCTGGTTATCAGCAACAATGTTGGAAGAAGACTATCGAGCAAATTCGATACAGTTACTTTTCAGAACTTGCATTCTCAGCATTTATTTCGTGTCTGTGTTTTACTGCATATGTGAAAAACATCAAAAGTATGGATTTTGTGAAAAATTTTAATAAGTAGATTCACTTAAACCCCCCCAAAACAAATCCTCCAAACAAGAAATGCTTCCAAAAGCTATATATACATCTGTACTGCAGATTGTCAACAATGTGACTTCACCTGTCATTACTATATAGTAAGTATTCCGATACTTAGACTTAGAAAATGAGACTGGCCACTTTTTAGGGACACTTTAATATGGCATCATTTATTATGTTGTTTAGAATATTTACTGGCATGCATTCGCAACTTAGCTCAAGATTGTCTCAATCTATGTGGTAAGAACATATCTTGATTTCCTAGAATGCTGAAACATTTGCAAAATGTTCAGAAATGTGCAGCAATAGTTTCCTGTAGGTGCTGCAGCGTGGAAGCACCTGGATTGTTCATGGAAAAAAAAAGTTTATTTCTGCTTCTATGAAAAGAAGGCCCCACCCGAGCTGAATGCTGATGTCCTGAGAGCAATACAAAGAAGAATTTGCTCTATGACATGCTTTTTCTTATCTATGATTTTGCAGAAGCCCTTTCTCCATGGCTTTGGAACTGTGTTACAACACAGGCAAACTAAACCTCTTTCTGGCAAGTAGCCCACCTACCAAAAAATAGGATTTTAGGGCTATTTATATCTACTTACAAATTTGGCATATTTGATTTCAGCCCAAAAAGTTTACCTTTTTAATTTCATTTTAATAAAAAAAAAAAAATCATTTTATTTCTGCATTTGCCAGACCCCATGCTGCAACTTACTTGCTAAAGGGTATTTGCATTTTTTAAAAGGAATTGAATACCATCAAAACTCACAATTTCAGATTTAGTGAGACATTTTGTTACTGAGCAAAATGAGCAAAAATTTGAACATAAATACACAGCCACGCATTATATGGCCAGTAAAGCAATTATTTGCACAGCCTGAGACTCATATCACAAGGAGAAGGCAGGGAGCAGACGTTGCACCTGGCACCATTCCCTGCACCTCAGAGATCTCTAATCTGGTTATTGATGCCCCAAGCAGTTGTTATATGTATCCAAGAAGCAAGCAAATGTGCTTCAGGCAGCTTTAAGTTCCATGAAGCATCGCTCCTGCCAGCTCGTATGTAGCAATGGAGGGGAGAGTCAGTGCCTCCAGCTGGGGAGCACTGCTTGCTGTAGTGGGTTCCTGCTCATCTGCAGGACTGGCTATCCTGCAAGAAGAGACGCCAGAGCAGATGCCAAGATGCCCAGAAGCCGTATGATCTCAGGACAATTACTAGGCTAGTTTAAGCTTGGGTTTAGCGCAACTAAGCCAGCTGACCCTGTCCTGCTTTACATGGAATAATTATGTGTCTACTGGACCAGAGAGAATACAAAGGCCCGTCTATCCCAGAACTGGGAACAGGGAAGCTGAGGTTCCCCTCCCCACATTTGCAAATACTTAGGGTGCAGTGACAGGTGAAATGGAAATTTTTCTGTTTTGACTCTAGTAATAAAACCCCCAAGTGCTTCTGTGACAGCAGCATTAGATTCCATTGTTTGTCCCTGTGAAATCTGGTAAGAGCTACCCAAAACATTGACCCCACATTCTTCATGCATGTGAATACAAGATCATAGTCACCTGCTATTACTCAAAGTCTACTTAGAAATGAGGAACAAGCAGTGTATTTTAACTGTGATTTTCCAATTGTGAAGGACTGAGAAAAGGGCAGGGAGAAAACGAAATGCAAAATTAACTGGATCCTGGTTATTAGCTTACACAGTCCATAATATAACTTTAGTATGTTACCGAATGCCTCAAGATTTTTTCAAGTACAGCTATTCCCCCATTTTGACACTGATTAATTCGAGTGTTTATTAGCAAAGGCCAACCCCTTCCTTGTGCTATCTGTAAGTGTGGCTCCCTGACTAGTCAAGAGTGCAATTCATGTTTCTTCATGTTTATCTATGTATCTTCTTTAGCATAAACTAGAGATGCGATAAGTGTCTTTTAGTCCAATTTCTTTTACACTGCTCTTGAAATAAGAACTGAAAAGCACTTTGAGAAATGTATTGAAATGCAGTAGCTTCACTACAATACTGCTGTTGTGTAATTACTTACTGTAATGCTCCTCCATGATTTAGAACAGACTTAGATGTAAACAGAATATATATTTTTTCCATTTAGTAGTTCAAGCAAATCAGTCTGAAAGCTGGACTAAAGGAAAGCGCTCTAAACTGCTGATAAACCCCTTAGACGATATATCTCAGAGTAGCAAGCAACCTTCTAAAGCATTATGTATTCTTTATATAAGCCCCTCTACACTTTCATATGCCATGTCCTGAAAAAAAATCAAGTGTATAGTTTTGCATTTATATGGTACACCTTGAAATAATCATGTGAATGGAAAATCCACTCCATACTGTGCAGTCCAGAATTATCTTATTCATCCGGCATATTCCGATACATAATCCTTGCACAAGAAACTAAGTTATCTGTCTCCACAATGTGTAGAAAAGTGACAACACATGAAAGCCAGGTGTCTACCTGAGTGATGTCCATTCCAGAGTCACAGCTCAATGGCTGGGTTGATGTGAGGCCGTTCGAACCTATTATTGTTGTGATCACACCGTTCTCATCAATTTTCCGAATCATGGTACCATCAACGAAGTAAATAAATCCGTGCTTATCTACAGTGATACCTGGGTGAAGGGAAAGGGTAAAAAAGAGTGTTAGTACTGACATTACCTAGATTAAAAAGTATGAGCTTAAAATGTCTCCTCTCCTCTTAGACTCTGCTGATTTTTAAGAGTATGACTTTTTTTTTTCCCCTACTCATTACTTATTTGAGGCTTATACAAACTGTATATGGAAAGATCACACCCATATATCAGACTGTCTTTGACTTAGAGAAAGAAAGAAGATATGAGGAAGAAGCAGAACAAAACAGCAGAGGCTTTGCTTATAATGTAATTTTACACACATAGAATTAGTCTCTTCAATAACTTTGCGTCATGTCCATCACAAAGTGGGACAAGACTAGCTTTTCTAAAAACTTATCTTACAGTTGATTTTTCTTCATTTTCACCTTCTTAATTCTCATGAAGAAGCAAATTTTTTTTATTACTGTACTGTCTGAATTGTCAGAGTGTCTGAGCAAGGAAGAAGCACCCACAGAAAGCGAGAGAGACTTTCGCCATGATATGGGCTATACGTACAAATGGTACAAAGCAGGCTCTGCTTAGCAGGCAGAAGGAATATCTGTTCTGCAGAATGTATTGCAGTGCAGTGTTGCCCAAGACGATGGTCATGTACTGGAACCAGCCTCATGGTAACAGTGGGCTTCAGCAG